AAAAGGATTAAATGCAGACAGACCTATATAAACTAATATTTAAAATCCAACTTAAATACAGTCGTAATACTTCGTCAAAATAAATATATTATATACCGTACTTCCCCGTGCATCAGCCCACCCCTCTGTTTTTAGACATTTAACAAGTTGAGGGCATCCCTGATAGGCCCAGGTTGTTTTTACCGGGCGTTGACGACATTTATTAAAATATGCATGTAAAAAGTGTATTTCATTGCATAATAATTGTGATCGGTACAGTAGTTTAGTTCCTGCTTTTACGAAAAAACTCGCATTAATTTCAGAGAGCATGGCCGGCGAACGCGAGGAACATTGTCCGCACCTTTTCTATTCTGTTATTTACTCAGGATGAGCCCTGATGTTGCAATACTGAAGTATTTCATATCTCTTCTGAGTAGTAGTTTTAGAAACGCCAAAAATGTGATTGTCAAGTTGTGAAACCTGGTCACTGAACATCGTTTTACTTTTCCGAATAATCGTGTCCATTGAGACTTTCATGAATGGGATGTAAACGAGCAAACTATTCTTTGACATGACTTGTTGTAACCGTGAAAAGTTTAAATATTTCCTCCACCTTCAGTTTACCTTTATAAAATTGTGAATCAACAGCTTTAGGGGAAAAAATCAGCGTTTTTTGTCAAAATCAGATCACTTTTTAACATCACAGTAATTCACTTCCGCATTGTGTTGAAAAAAAAACTTTGTCAATAATCAAAAAACTTTGTCTGTACGACACAGCGTTTTGATTGGAAGACGTAACCTGTTACAATGTAGGTCAAAGAAAGTTGTTCAGGTCAAATCATAATGAAAAACACCATGGCAGAAATTGCTTTCTTTTGATAGTTTGCGTACGATCAAAAACATTCCACAACGAAGATAATAATAAAGATCTTGCCTTCGACTGTTTTCCCACAAACCCATTTTTGCACCGTAAATTCAGACGGTATGTAAACCATATTGTCAAAAAATGTGTCTATTTTTACATGTTTGTTTCTTCATTGTGAAAAGTGTCGTGGAAATCAAAAAGACGTAATATTTCTCCGAGACTGATACTGTGAATGAAAAATGTAATTTGGATAATTTTTCGTGGTTGGGAAGATGGTTACAATTTTAAACCCCCCAAAAAAGTTATCTTTTCTGAGGTGGTCCTCGAGTATAAGCCCATCCCCTAATTTTCCCGATTTTACATGAACAGGTCCCTGGGTTTATATTCGGGGAAGTACGGTATCTTCAAATAAATAAAAAGTAAGTTTTCAAATAATTCCCTGAATCTCCCCAAACCACCAAATTGGACTTCCCCAAACCACCAAATTGAACATCTCCAAACCACCAAATTGGACATCTCTAAACCACCAAATTGGACATTCCCAAAACAACAAATGGGACATCCCCAAACCACCAAATGGGACATCCCCCAAAACACCAAATTGAACATCCCCAAACGACCAAATTGAACATCCCCAAACCACCAAATGGGACATCCCCAAAACACCAATTGGGACATCCCCAAACCACCGAATGGGACATCCCCAAACCACCGAATGGGACATCCCCAAACCACCGAATGGGACATCCCCAAACCACCAAATTGGACATCCCCAAACCACCAAATTGGACATCCCCAAACCACCAAATTGGACATCACCAAATGGGACATCCCCAAACCACCAAATGGGACATCCCCAAACCACCAAATGGGACATCCCCAAAACACCAAATGGGACATCCCCAAAACACCAAATTGGACATCCCCAAACCACCAATTGGGACATCCCCAAACCACCAATTGGGACATCCCCAAACCACCAATTGGGACATCCCCAAACTACCAATTGGGACATCCCCAAACTACCAATTGGGACATCCCCAAACCACCAAATGGGACATCCCCAAACCACCAAATTGGACATCCCCAAACCTTCAAATTGAACATCCCCAAACCTCCAAATTGAACATCCCCAAACCTCCAAATTGAACATCCCCAAACCTCCAAATTGAACATCCCCAAACTACCAAATTGGACATTCCCAAACCAACAAATGGGACATCCCCAAACCACCAAATGGGTCATCCCCAAACCACCAAATTGGACATCCCCAAACCACCAATTGGGACATCCCCAAACCACCAATTGGGACATCCCCAAACCACCAATTGGGACATCCCCAAACTACCAAATGAGACATCCTCAACCACCAAATTGGACATCCTCAACCACCAAATGGGACTTCCCCAAACCTCCAAATTGAACATCCCCAAAACACCAAATGGGACATCCCCAAACCACCAAATTGAACATCCCCAAACCACCAATTGGGACATCCCCAAACCACCAATTGGGACATCCCCAAACTACCAAATGAGACATCCTCAACCACCAAATTGGACATCCCCAAACCACCAAATTGGACATCCCCAAACCACCCAATGGGACATCCCCAAAACACCAAATTGGACATCCCCAAACCACCAATTGGGACATCCCCAAACCACCAATTGGGACATCCCCAAACCACCAATTGGGACATCCCCAAACTACCAAATGGGACATCCCCAAACCACCAAATGGGACATCCCCAAACCACCAAATTGGACATCCCCAAACCACCAAATGGGACATCCCCAAACCACCAAATGGGACATCCCCAAACCACCAAATGGGACATCCCCAAACCACCAAATTGGACATCCTCAAAACACCAAATGGGACATCCCCAAAACACAAAATGGGACTTCCCCAAAACACAAAATTGGACATCCCCAAACCATCAAATGGGACATCCCCAAACCACCAAATGGGACATCCCCAAAACACCAAATGGGACATCCCTAAATCCACCAAATGGGACATCCCCCAAACCATCACTAGGTCATCCCCAAACCACCAAATGGGACATCCCCAAAACACCAAATGGGACATCCCCAAAACACCAAATGGGACATCCCCAAACCATCACTAGGTCTTCCCCAAATCAACAAATGGGACATCCCCAAATCACCGAATGAGATATCCCCCAAAACACCAAATTGGACATCCCTAAAACACCAAATGGGACATCCCCAAAACACCAAATGGGACATCCCCAAAACACCAAATGGGACATCCCCAAAACACCAAATGAGACATCCCCAAAACCCCAAATGGGACATCCCCAAAACCCCAAATGGGACATCCCCAAAACACCAAATGGGACATCCCCAAACCACCAAATGAGACATCCCCCAAACACCAAATGGAACTTCCCCAAACCACCAAATGGGACATCCCCCAAAACACCAAATGGGACATCTCCCCAAACCACCAAATGGGACATCCCCAATCCACCAAATGGGACATCCCCAAAACACTAAATGGGACATTCCTCAAAACACCAAATTGGACATCTCCAAAAAACCAAATGAAACATCCCCAATCCACCAATTGGGACATCCCCAAACCACCGAATGGGACATCCCCAATCCACCAATTGGGACATCCCCAAACCACCGAATGGGACATCCCCAAACCACCAAATTGGACATCCCCAAAACACCAAATGGAACATCCCCAAAACACCAAATGGAACATCCCCAAACAACCAAAAAGTACAACCCCCAAACCACCAAATTGTACATTCCCAAAACGCAAAATTGTACATCCCCAAACCACCAAATGGGATACCCCAAAACACCAAATGGGACATTCCCCAAAACACCAAATGGGACATCCCCAAAACACCAAATGGGACATCCCCCAAAACACCAAATGGGACATCTCCCCAAACCACCAAATGGGACATCCCCAATCCACCAAATGGGACATCCCCAAAACACCAAATGGGACATTCCTCAAAACACCAAATTGGACATCTCCAAAAAACCAAATGAAACATCCCCAATCCACCAATTGGGACATCCCCAAACCACCGAATGGGACATCCCCAATCCACCAATTGGGACATCCCCAAACCACCGAATGGGACATCCCCAAACCACCGAATGGGACATCCCCAAACCACGGAATGGGACATCCCCAAACCACCAAATTGGACATCCCCAAAACACCAAATGGAACATCCCCAAAACACCAAATGGAACATCCCCAAACAACCAAAAAGTACAACCCCCAAACCACCAAATTGTACATTCCCAAAACGCAAAATTGTACATCCCCAAACCACCAAATGGGACATCCCCAAAATAACAAATGGGACATCCCCAAAATAACAAATGGGACATCCCCAAATCACCAAATGGGACATCCCCCAAAACATCAAATGAAACATCCCCAAAACACCAAATGAAACATCCCCAATCCACCAAATGGGATACCCCAAAACACCAAATGGGACATTCCCCAAAACACCAAATGGGACATCCCCAAAACACCAAATGGGACATCCCCAAAACACCAAATGGGACATCCCCAACAACCAAATAGAATGTTACAGGACCATCTCATAGAGTATTTTCAACCTCATAAAATACAGATATCTATGAAGTACACAAACTAACCAAGTACGTCAACTCTATTGTATTAAATATTGATTCTAATTTTCAGCTAAAGGTCAGCGAATGTATGGCATTCCCAGTAGAATACAAGATGAAATTACTGCTGAGAATATTGCATTAGCTGCCAATAGGTGAGCTCTTATAACTGTCAAGTCAGTGAAAAAGAAAGAAAAATACTGTTTATCTGGTTTATTCACTTTCATTCATATATGCATGGACTAGCATTGTTCCTGTTCCTGAAATATTAAAAAATATTTTGATAGCATGCCTTTATTTTCATGATTTATTGTTTTGTAGTCATTTTTTCACAGTATCTGGAAAATAAAACAAAATTGAATATACAGTAAAAAAATCTTTATTTTTTGTATAGATACTGTAGGTAATTTCATTGCTGGAAATTTTCATGAATTTGTCATTCAAGTGCATGTGGACTTCATGGAAGTTTGGTTATTATTTATGAATCAATATGAGATGTTATTGAAAATTACACTCATTTAAGAAATAATTACATAATAGTTATGGATTGTTGATGATTTCTCCAAGTGAAAAACAAAATTATAGCAGAATACTTCAGCATACTATATGTTGGGATTCACTACCATATATTTTTTATTTTCATAGCATGTTTTTCACAACATGCGGCAAGTAGTTAATATATTACTTTGAACCTTTGATGAGACAAGTTTTATGAAATAATCATCTTTGATGTCTGCAACAAACAACCAAACCCAACTGTGTCTTTATATTTTGTCTGTGTGTCTGCCCCAAATCTCCCATAAAATTCAGTGAATAGCTAATCTTATCTTATCTGCATATTATTTGCATATTAATTAGTAATTTGGAATATTTTAATAGAAAATAGAGCGAGTGTAGATATAGTGGCCACTTGTTAAGTCGCGGGTGTCGAGATCCAAGCAAAAATACGCGACTTAACAAAGGTTGATAATGCATTGAAAATGAATAAAAAGCACATATATACAAATAGATTTATTTATAGTACTTTTCTTTATTGAACATTATCACAGCGTCAATGTTCATATGGATTCAACTCATTGCAGCAAGTTTTATAGTTTTATCATACTCCCGCTGACACCTTGAGTCAGGCTGCCGTCACCTTATGCGACAATGCATCAAAACATTAGTTCTTTTACTTCAAAACTGATGACAAAACACAATAGAATTTTTGGGAGCCATTCAACTACTCACGACTTAGTCAAAACCGCGACTTAGTCAAAACCGTGACTTACTGAGGCACTACTTAGCGAGGGGGTCACTGTATATATAGGGAGTACATATTTATACAGTATTGCAGTATATTTGTATTCTTTTGCAGAGACAAGTATGACACACTTGTGAACATGATAGAAGTTAAATTATTACATTCCAACTACTGTACTGTAATAGACGATGTGTTACAATTAAGAACCAATGTTGATACGTGTGTGACTGCATTGTCAATTGACAGAAGGAAAACCATAGCCGAGTTGGAGACTGCAATTACAGAGGTAGGTATGGACAGTGTTTAAAAGGTTGAAAAATGTTGATTAATAAATTCTGTGAAAACCATGATCTATTCAAGATTTTTCTAAGAATGTATTTTTTTCTCATTTGTATCCTGTCGCTACTGGTACATTTATACAACAAAATAAAGAATGTATATATGTTTTAATATTTAATTATAATTTAGGTGCAGTTTTGTAAACTTAAAGTGATATAAGTATGCACAGAATACGATTACCTGAATACATAGAATAATTACAAGATTATGCAAATGAATATGTACAGCATTTCACACTGTTTTTAGTAATTGTTTTATTCAGAAATGTAGTTGACACCAAAAATATTGTACTATTGTAATTTTCAGATATATTTTCCAAAATGAATACTCTACTGTAATAACTGTTAAGTTCTGTTTTTTTTCTTAGGTGTTTGGTAGCATGACTCCCTCTCCAGACATGTGTCTGCACACTGTCAAAGACTTACCTGCAGGTTTGCATCTGTATAATCATGTCTCAGGTAAGACCATATCAAACAACACCTTGCCCAAACTGGTAGTAATCTTTTTTGCCTTTCAATTAGCCATTGATTGGATTTTGTATTGGGTAAATTATTAGCCTAATAATTATAATGTTGTATTTAAGAGGTTATTACGAGGATACTGCAAAGTATACACGAAGAAAGTGCAGCGATGCGACCGCGTACTATCTGAGTGCATACTTTGCAGTATCCTTGTAATAACCTTATAATTATACATCTTTCCCTCCTAGGAATACATCATGGGAATGCCGAAATCCAAAACATTTAGAACACATTTAGTGAACTTCTTTGTGTGAGGTCCGGTCAAACTCTGGGGCAGTCATGTTGTTTTTATTATTATTAGAGAATGCTTACGAGCATAATCGTTCCATATTTGGAATTTGCATTTTCTAATATGATAAGATGAAAATACCTAGTGCAATACCACGAAATTATGGCACGCTGTAACTGTATGGCGTTACAATGACAGATGACTGATAAAGATTAATAATATTATCTAATGATTGACTTTTGTTACTCTACTTGTATTTTAGAATCATTGATAGCAATTCAGATGTTGAATCATATAATAGCTTCACACCCTAACTGTAATATTACAGTGCGTTTTACGTTCTTCAAACAATTCACTACGTTCAATTACCCACCATAGACTCCAGTCAGTCAAAATGACTAATTTGAACTGTAGGCATTAATCAGCGATTCTGCCGGTGACGGAGAGATAGAATCTAGGTCAGGGGAAGCCCCATGACCCCAAGATTATCTTTCCCTTACGTCACAAACCACGTGATGCGGGGATGAAGTTTTAGCGGCTCTTTTTTCCCTCATGCATGTCGTCTTTTATTTGCAATGTATTTAGCAATGTATGGATGTAATGACAGTACCAGGACTCGCTGCCGTTTTCCTTTTGGTCTCCTCGCGTTTCGGGTCAACTGTGCAGTGGTTATATTCAGAATTTACCAGCATAGAACCTGCATCCCAGATGCTGCGTGCGGGGTTCAGGGTTTTTGCGTGAAGGTGTGTTTTTCACTGGAGTTCTGAGGCCTGCTATTGTCTTTCAGAGCCATCAAAATCGCTGAGACAGACCGCGTCACAGCAAGGTTGCGCGTCCAGTAAACAAATCGGTTAAAGTGAGTTGCGTGTTTGGCATGAGTGGAAAATCCTCACACTCGGCTACCGGTTGTACCGGGACGTCGAGTAGAAGGCCAGTTGGTGGAGGTAGTGATATTTTTCTCGGTCTCCCCCCGCTGATTGGAAGGCATCCTCACAGTCTGTTTTTTCAGGCGGTGGTTTACCCGATTTTACCTGCTGCAGCGAGACTGTGCCCCTGGAGGCTTTCCTCCTGTGGGGCCCGTTGTGGGTCCTTTTGTGGACCCTTCCTTGCACGGCGCCGGGTTTGCCTCCGAGTTGAGGGCTTTGGTCAAGGGACTGTCGGGGCAATTGCGTCCCTGGCAGGCCGGGTAGATCAGACGCAGTCGGAGCGAGCTGTCTCCACTGCGGCCCCTTGGTGGGCAAGCAGGAAGAAACACGAAAGCATGTTTGCATTCAAACACGTCTCTTCCGGGGAACCCCCGTTCCCAGCCATGGCTCTCCCACTATTTTTGGGTGAGGCCTCGGGCACTGAATGCCAATGGGCTGCTGGCAGCCAAGCCTCCGATCTCAGGGCAGGGCTTTCAGGGCAGGGCTTTCAGGGCAGGGCACACATTGACCCCCCCCTACTTTCAGCAAGCTAGGGTACAACAGTAATAAATTTATCCTTGTGTCTGGTCTCCGCTGTGGGTTTTGACTTTTTCTTACTGACCCACGGGCGTCCCCAGAGGGAACCGACCCTGTTATGAGACAGACGCACAGTCGAACACGCTCCCTCTCACATATTTGAAAGTGAAAGGAGACTCAGTTCGCTGGTGTCGGATATAGCCGGTACTCCATGTGGCCCCTCAGAGTCTTCCATCTGTATGACTCGATGAGCCATGCTTTTTGGGGTGATCCCAGTGATACGATGTAAATACCCCCACCCTTGATCCTAAGGTGACCACCGAAGGTTGCTTCAATGCTTATGGGATCACGGGTGTCGGGATCCAAAGCAACCCCGTCGGCACGTCTCTCCCTGTCCGTCCCAGTGTGGAGTGGGACGCAGAGCACGCAAACGGTGTTGATGGGCGGTGTTGGTCAGCCACGGAGGATTTAATCCTTAAGGCCCCCGGGTGGGGAAAACATTAGACAACACTTTCCGCTGGACTAAACGCTACCCGGTCGATGTGGTTTCGGGATCTGACCCCATAGCGTGGGATGAGACCAAAACGCGCCCAACCGGATCCCAAGGCTCCTTCCCCAGACCCCGGTACCACGAATTTGGCAAACCGGGCAAAGGGGGACAGCCGCGTTCCATGGGCGTTCTTGCCAATCGTAGACGACCCATCCAGCCCTGAGGGCAGAGTCGCTTGAGCGTATTATTATGCGTGCCCAGCACTCTGGTGACCTTGGAGGCAGAACGCACCAGCCTCCTAGACCAGGCGACTTTTTTACTGGTGGGCCACCGCACATCTACGTGCGACACACCCTAGTGTCGCCTGGCTCTCTTGGCCGGGGCCACTACTGTGCTACGAGACGCGGCCTTAGACGCACATGTTTTCGCCAACAAGCTGAGTGGGGGTACGTCCCCACCTCAGTGACGCAGACTGGATACCCTCCACCCTCTTTGTTCAGGGAATGGTGGGTACAGTCTCGGAGCTTTGGAGTGCAATGAATCAGAGGGTTCAGATCGAATCCGCTAGCCAGTTGGTCCTGCCAAGGGCAAGTGGAGGGCACCCCAAGCACAGAAAACACAATGCCCTAGGGCATCGTCCGTTAGCCAGAGTCAGCCAGGAGGCAAGCGCTTATACCCTTCCATGGGAGGGAAGAGTAGTGGCGCACCCCCAGGGAGGAAAGAGCCAGGTGGTGGCTCCTCACTCTCCGTGGGCGGACGTCTACCCGGCAGCGGGGGAAGCGTGTTTGACCCTCACCTCTGCAACCGGGGGAGACAGGCATGTGTTCGGCAAGTGGCCAGTTCACAACTTAGTGACTACTTCAGGCCTTGGGGAACTGATCCTCATAGGGGAAGGGAGCACTCCCCCCTCGCAACTGCCGAACCCATGACCACATATCCCTGTCGTACACAGATTGCGCCCGTGTAGTCCGGTTTGGAGACAGTGGGTGACCGATCCCTGGACCTTTCCAGGTGGTGACATCCTGTTACGGGATACCGCTGAAATCTCCATTTCCCCTTGTCAGTGACTTCCCTGTTGGACACTGCCAGGGGGCTCAATCAGACAGGAAGTAGCAGTTTGCTGGGAAAAGGCGCCATACACAGGGTACATCAGCCGGAACTAAGTCCAGGCTTCTACCCAAATGTGTTTGTAGTACCAAATCTACAACTGGCGGGCGTCCAGTTCTAGACCTAGGCAGACTGAATCAGTACGTGCTCCTCGATCGATTCCACAAGGAGATACCATTCAGGGTTCTCCTCTCCATCCACCGTTTTGACTGGCTAGCCCCACTAGACTTAAGCGGGGCCTACCTGCACATACCGATGCACCCAGTGAGTTGCCATCTCCTTCGAATTGTGCAGCTAGGCAAAGTATCCCCCCCCCCCCCCGTTCGGGTTAGGCACAGCGCCCTAC